TTCACCTAACCTGCCACGCTAATTAACCTAACCTGCCATGTTAATGATCCTAACCTGCCATGTTAATTATCCTAACCTGCCACATTAGTTATCCTAACCTGCTTTGTAAACAAATCATCTGTGTCGAGAAACCATCAGTTCATAACACCGGAACTGACTAATGGCATGTATCGATGGGCGTTTCCTGATATCAGAGAACACCCACATCAAGTAACGCCCCGAATTGCGGTCTGCAATTACACCATATTCTCACAGCTGGCAATGCCTCATTGCAATTGGTTATTCCCCATAATTTGCAACAATGTCAATGAGCGTGCGTCATCACTAGCTTTCCTTTGCAGTAGGCCACCTCAAAATGTTGTGATTACCAGCTGAGATAAACTTTTATCAGTTGATTTTACTCTTGGCTCAGAGTTTGTCTGGGCAGAGGAGTTTTTTTAATCTTAAAAATAAAACAGTAGATTCTTGATATGACCTTGAGAAATAGTGCATTGTGGGTAGTTTAGAAGATATCTGAAAATACGTTTATAAATACACTACCGGTCAAAAGTTTTAGAACACCTACTAATTCAAGGGTTTTTCTTTATTTTTACTATTTTATACATTGTATAAGAATAGTGAAGACATCAAAACTATGAAATAACACATATGGAATCATGTAGTAACCAAAAAAGTGTTAAACAAATCAAAATATATTTTATATTTGAGATTCTTCAAATAGCCACCCTTTGCCTTGATGACAGCTTTGCACACTCTTGGCATTCTCTCAACCAGCTTCACCTGGATTGCTTTTCCAACAGTCTTGAAGGAGTTCCCACATATGCTGAGCACTTGTTGGCTGCTTTTTCTTCACTCTGAGGTCCGACTCATCCCAAACCATCTCAATTTGGTTGAGGTCGGGGGATTGTGGAGGCCAGGTCATCTGATGCAGCACTCCATCACTCTCCTTCTTGGTAAAATAGGCCTTACACAGCCTGGAGGTGTGTTGGGTCATTGTCCTGTTGAAAAACAAATGATAGTCCCACTAAGCCCAAACCAGATGGGATGGCGTATCACTGCAGAATGCTGTAGTAGCCATGCTGGTTAAGTGTGCCTTGAATTCTAAATAAATCACAGACAGTGTCACCACCAAAGCACCCCCACACCATAACACCTCCTCCTCCATGCTTTACGGTGGGAAATACACATGTGGAGATCATCCGTTCACCCACACCGCATCTCACAAAGACACTGCGGTTGGAACCAAAAATCTCCAATTTGGACTCCAGACCAAAGGACAAATTTCCACCGGTCTAATGTCCATTGCTCGTGTTTCTTGGCCCAAGCAAGTCTCTTCTTCTTTTTGGTGTCCTTTATTAGTGGTTTCTTTGCAGCAATTCGACCATGAATTCCTGATTCACACAGTCTCCTCTGAACAGTTGATGTTGAGATGTGTCTGTTACTTGAATTCTGTGAAGCACCAAGCACCAATGTCCACTGTCGACAGAAACTTAACACAAAGAAGACATTGTTTATTTGCTTGGAATATTATAACTTCAGTCTGTGTCTAGAAACGTCTTGTATTGAATGTGCAAAACCTATTTTGTCAAATCACACTAGAAAAGGCATTACTTGCATGACTCTTGAACAGAAAGGACTTCTGTAGTGAGTGAAGGGGACGTGAGAGGATAGTGTTTCAGCCATAAGTGGGGAAACAACAATGAGCGCTTTCGAGCTGATCTTTTTTGTCAAGTCGTGACGATTGTTGGTCACCGCCTTTCAAAGTGTGTTGCATTATGGGGTTAAAAATTGTCCGACTTGAGCCTACATATCGACTGCATGAACTTTACAAAAATCATGTTATCAAAGGTCATGAAGTTTTGACTGCAGTCTACTGCAAATTTCTGCAGTTGCTTTTTACCAACTTAATCGGCTGCATTGTGGGAGGCTCCATTGCCAACCAATCATTAGGGTGTTTTGTTTGACCCACACAAATGTGACCAAAGACAGACTGAAACAGGAACCAACTTTGCCACGATGTATACAGTGTATATGTACAAATGAATGTGATATTTGATGCTCTCTCTCACTGATTGATTGTACAATGTACACACATATGATTTCAGTTTGTGAGTGTTCGATATGGGGGATGGCGCAATGTTATTTCGACATTATAAAGAAAAACTTTTATAAACAATGGCAACACTGCCATATTGATCTGAGCCTTGCTGTTGGAAAACCACTTTCATGTCTGACTTTTGGCTGTCGCAGATGCACCTCCCCCGACTTCACTCCTCGGCTTTCGTCTACAGTCGGTTGCTTTGCCTTACCACTCAAATGCGCCCACTACTAACACTGCCCATGCAGCCAGCTATCCAGCACTTGAATTGGTCACACGATGCATCTAAGCTGATACGATGATGTTGTTGTTGCTGGGTGAGAGACGTGAAAGGAAGAAGAGAGATTAGGTGAAAGATGAGGTGACGTCTTACGTTGCACACACAACTACATAAAAGTTTCTTGCACAGTTATAGTGAATTCAGAAAGTATTCACACCCCTTGACTTTTTCCACATTTTGTTATGTTACAAAGTGGGATTAATATTGATTTGTCATTTTTTGTCAACGATCTACACAAAATACTCAGTAATGTCAAGGTGGAAGAAAAATTCTAACGTGTAAAATAAATATATAAAAAATAAAATACTAATATATCTTGATTAGATAAGTATTCAACCCCCTGAGTCAGTACATGTTAGAATCACCTTTGGCAGTCCTTAACAATTACAAGCATACCCATAACATGATGCAGCCACCACTATGCTTGAAAATATGGAGAGTGGTACTCAGTAATGTGTTGTATTGGATTTGCCCCAAACATAACACTTTGTATTCAGGACAAAAACTGAATTGCTTTGCCAATTCTTTTTGAAGTATTACTTTAGTGCCTTGTTGCAAACAAGATGCATGTTTTGGAATATTCTTATTCTGTACAGGCTTCTTCTTTTCACTCTTGTCAATTAGGTAAGTATTGTGGAGTAACTGCAATGTTGTTGATCCATCCTCAATTTCCTTCCATCACAGCCATTAAACTCTGTAATTGTTTTAAACTCACCATTGGTCACCATTGGCCAGTTTCCTTCCTCTCTGGTAACTGAGTTAGGAAGGACGCCTGTATCTGTGTAGTGACTGGGTGTATTGATACACCATCCAAAGTGTAATTAATAACTTCACCATGCTAAAATAGATCATTTTTACCCATCTACCAATAGGTGTCATTCTTTGCGAGGCATTGAAAAACCTTCCAGGTCTTTGTGGTTGAATCTGAGTTTGAAATTCACTGCTTGACTGAGGGACCTTACAGATAATTGAATGTGTGGGGTACAGAGATGAGGTAGTCATTCAAAAATCATGTTAAACACTATTATTGCACACAGAGTGAGTCCATGCAACTTATTATGTGACTTGTTAAGCACATTTTTACTCCTGAACTTATTTAGGCTTACCATAACATAGGGGTGGAATCCTTATTGACTCAAGACATTTCAGCTTTTAATTTTTTATTGATTTGTAAAAATAAATATTTAAACATCATTCCACTTTGACATTATGAGGTATTGTGTGTGTAGGCCAGTGACAAAAAATCTCTGGATTTCACGACTGGGAATACAGATATGTATCTGTTGGTTACAGATACCTTTTTTTTAAAGTAGGGGCGTGGATCAGAAAACCAGTCAGTATCTGGTGTGACCACCATTTGCCTCATGCAGCGCGACATCTCCTTTGCATAGAGTTGATCAGGCTGTTGATTGTGGCCTGTGGAATGTTGTCCCACTCCTCTTCAATGGCTGTGTGAAATTGTTGGATATTGGTGGGAACTGGAAGATGTCAATCCAGAGCATTCCAAACATGCTCAATGGGTGACATGTCTAGTGAGTATGCAGGCCATAGGTCCTGTGTGGCTCAGTTGGTAGAGCATGGCGCTTGCATCGCCAGTGTTGTTGGTTCGATTCCCACGGGGCCAGTATGAAAACAGAAGTATATACGAAAATATATCCACTCACTACTGTAAGTCCAGAGTGTCTGCTAAATGACTAAAATGTGAAATTGGAAATGGAAAGACATTTTCAGCTTCCAGGAATTGTGTACAGATCCTTGGAACATGGGGCCGTGCATTATCATGCTGAAACATGAGGTGATGGCGGTGGATGAGTGGTACGACAATGGGCCTCAGGATCTCGTCACGGTATGAGTCCATATGACTAGTTAAGCACATTTTTTTCTCCTGAATGTATTTAGGCTTGCCATAACAAAGGGGTTGAATACTTATTCACTCAAGACATTTCAGCTTTTCATTTTTATTAATCTAAATTTAATGCATTTTAAATTCAGGCTGTAACACAATAAAATGTGTCAAGGGTGTGAATACTTTCTGAAGCCTATTAGTAAAACCAACCTTGTAGACCGGAGTATGTTTTATCTATCCTCTTCTATCCAATTGAAATTACCTATGGCAAATGTAGGTTATTGCAATTTATCCCTAAATACTATTCTATACTGGGTAGCACAAACTAAACTTATATGATAGTTTTTCTATTGTTGAAAGTTGTTGTTTGCTTTATTGTTACGGATTCAAGGTAATTTTTAGTTGTGATGGGGCCTAATAAAAAGTGCCATTTGTGGAACATTTTGGTTGTTCAGCAAACACACCCCTCTGGCGGCAATTGGCTGGTGGGCGTGCCTACCTCCGGCAGAGCAAAGTTAGAAGTTCACTCAAAAACTGCCTTGCATTGTGTGTGGTGCGTTGTGTGTGGTGAGCGAGACAGGGGAGGACGGAGCCTATAGAACTCTCGAAAAAAGGCTTCGTGATTTAACAACTCTTCGGTCTCCCCATCAACAACCCACCACCGCCGCCCCACCTGCAAGTGAAGGATATACTGTAATTTCATTGTACAGAAAAAGTAACGTTACAGACAAACTTTTCAAACTACGGTCTCTAGGACTATTAAAGTGGCAGCCAGCATGAACGTCAGTGCGGAGTCTTTCACCTCCAACCCATTTCACATCTGTAACATCTGTCAGAAGGTGATAAGGAAAAAGGTATGGCGTTTCCTGATTGATTTCTCCAAATGTTACTTTTACTAGTCGACCAATAGCATGTTTTATCAAGGTGATAAGTCAGGCCTATTTATTATTCCTTCCAATTTATATAAAATGTCGTTGCATCTTATGAAGTTGTCACTGAGATCCTGCAGGAGTAGTAGCCTATAGACCCTAGTATACATTCATTTATGAAGTTGTCACTGAGATCCTGCAGGAGTAGTAGCCTATAGACCCTAGTATACATTCATTTATGAAGTTGTCACTGAGATCCTGCAGGAGTAGTAGCCTATAGACTCTAGTATACATTCATTTGATCTATTGATTCAGACAGCAGAACAAACATATTGCTTTTCACTGGTCTTCTCCTTGCCTTACTGCTATTTTTGCATTTAACTACATTCTGTATTTCAACATCATCTATAGAATTGCTTCAGAATCGGTTGTAATTCCTATTAGGCCTAGTTTAATCATCTCAAAGCTAATAATGTACAGTCATGGATCATGGACTTTTTGCAGTCCAAATACCCATATTTTATGACAATCAGGCTGTTTTTCTTTACAAACATATCAGACAACAGTTATCTGCAACAGATTGTCGCATTTGCATTTATTTATTTCCCAGGATGGTCGTCAATCAGTATGATAGCAATAGAGTTGGTGGTAGATTGATGATTTGATAAGAACATGGATATCTCTCTCTCTCTAGTGCCCTGCTTTCTTAGTCTGACTGCTATTATTAGTAGCCATTAGTCTATGTACATATGACCCAGTTTTTGATAGGGAGGCATCATACGATGGTGTCAAGGCAGAAGATTGGGTAATTTTTTTGTCATCTCCAGGGCATCATTGAGTTACACAATACATGTCTTGATACTTTAGAATGATTTGGACATGAAGTGTGAAAACGCTAATACTATATTAGCATTTTCACACTTCATGTCCAAAGCATCCTAAAGTATCAAAAAATGTATTGTGTAACTCAATGATGTTACTTATAGATGATTTGGATATGAAGCGCGAAAATGCTAACATAGGTAGGTACCATTGACTTGCATTGGATTTGTGACACAAATGCGGCCCAGTAAACAAAACCAAAGCATGGGTTGCTGTCATACCTGGTCCATAGACTGCTTACAGGGTAAGAAAACCAATATGTAATTTGGGTGAACTATCCCTTTAACAATGAGTTAGTAGATTATTTCACTTAACAGCAGGAACACCACCATCTAGTGGTCAGAACCTAGACATATCAGGATGTAGGATGGGACATAAACCCAACAACTTCAATGACTAATTTCTCTGAACAGGGGAAAAAAACATCACCAAATTCACTGAGAATACATTACATAGGATGAAGAAACAATACTCTGAGCCGCAGCTTCATACTACTTGTCAAATATAGAGAACTGATACTATAGACTCATTGTTGGGGTGGGATTGGCGTGAAGTGGGGGGGGGGGGGGGTCCGTGGGTGACTTTTGACCATTTCTTTAGATTCCTCACGTCTAACTCATTGTTAGAAAAAATGTTGGTCCAAATCGGATGTTATTTACTACATTTATTGAATATTATGTGAATTCTATACATTTAAATGGCCAACTTGGATAAAATCAATTACCTTAATTTCTCAGAGATCAAATTCTATTTAAACAGGAATACTAATCTGATCAGTTTCTAACAACAAAAACGATTTCAGAACAATCTGAGATGGTGGGTGTCAAACCTCTTTCTTGTGCTTTTTGAGGTGGAACAACCCTGTAACAACAAAACATGAGGAGTGGACATCCACAGATTACAATGCCTAGAGACAGCTTTGTCTGTCTGCACACCGGAGTAAGCCCTTTCCTGACAAACATCACTGACAGAAAAAAACACTATTTTATACTATACTACAGTTACCAATAGATACCGGTAAATACACTATGCTATGATCACATAGAAATATACTGGTAAAGGCAGAGACTATAGATCTTTAATTTTGTAGGTTGAAACCAAGAGGTTTCATACAAGTTGTTCTCAACAGAAACCCTCTTGGTTGGAAATTACAGTTTACTGAGAGAGCGATGAAACTGTCAATTCATGTTTTACTCTATCATTCATAATGATGTAAGATTCTTGTTTTTGGTGCTTTATTACTTATTTATCACATACTTATTTCACAATTACAACTGTCTTGAAAAAGTATTGTTGTTGTTATGTGATAAACTGGCTTTAGGCTATTCGTTTTTTGTGATGGAGATGATGGAGACAGACGGGTCCAGGCTCTTTTTTAAACTGCACAGTCCAGGATAGAGAGGAGCACTGGAGCCACCTCTCTCTGTGTAATCTCAGTTAGTTGCATCAGCCACGTTGCCCCAACAACAGACACTCATCACCCAACACACACAAAGGGCCAGACAGACAGAGGGCGGAGAGGAGATATGAGAGGAGAAGAGGGGAGAGATGATAGGAGAGGAGGAGAGAGGGATGGCGAGAGAGAGGAAAAGAGGGAGGGATTAATACTAGGGTGAACCTGTCTGCAGTCCAGGGCAGGTCTGTCTGTCTGTATCACCGGTGGCAGTGGGAGTCACAGGGCTTCAACCCAATTAGCTAAATTCACAGGAAATGGCCTGTCTGTTGACAGAGCGCACATTCAAAGGTCTGTTATGTAACAAGACATATGCTACTGGAACAGAGAGGGGTCTCTGTCTGACTCTCTCTTTCACGCACACACCACTTTCTCACACACACACACACACTTTCTCACACACAGAGAACTACATTGTCTTACTGTATATTTTGGTGGTTTATGTGGCTTTGTTATCCATTCGTACTATAAACTTTCTTCCCACCTTTGAACTTGAGGCCCTTGATCATTATGTAATATTATAACCATGGCGATGTACTGTAAGACAGCTAAATACACAAGATAACCCCAGTCTAGTGTTTATTATACAACAGGTGGTTTGGAATTCCCATTGTTAGAGCCTATCCTACTCATGATATACTAGACAACATACACATGGCCAGTACATTCATAAAAAGTGCCATTGTTTACATCCTTACCTTGAAACGCACTACTACTACTACTACTACTACTACTACTACTACTACTACTACTACTACTACTACTACTACTACTACTACTACTACTACTACTACTGCCATGCAATTTTAAACTTTGTAAACACTGTGAAAAAAACCATCTACACATTATCTCTGACATTTGCAACATTGTTGCAATAATGAATCTCCATAAGGAATGTGTAAAGAGTCGGGACAAGACAGACAAGCAGCTTTTCTCAGCCAGTCCAAATCATGAATCAGCATCATTTCCACTGATATATACAAAGAAATGTCAATAGAAAAACAGATCAAACGAAACGAAGTACAGCTACTTTGACATCTTTCCAGCTTCAGTCTGAAGTGATTGTGTTAGCTGTGTAGTTGGCTAGCTAGCAAGGGGGAAGAGCCTCCATAGCAACCATTTTAGTTTTCCATACCAAAGTTCTACAACTATAAACCAGCGCTTGGGTAGTTTTGCTTTACATGGCAGTCAATACGAATATAACTAACGACCAGAGAACACCTAAAATTGCACTTGACAACCAGTGTTAGAGAATGCAATGTCACGTTTGTTGAAAAATGCATGGTTTGGGGGAGAATCTCGCTTTTTATGATAGAAATCTCATAACACATGGCCTCTCATGTATTATTGCTTAAATAACTGTCTGAGTTATTATTAATTAGTTTGATATACACTGAGTGTACAAAACATTAAGAACACTTTCCTAATATTGAGTTGAACCCCCCCATTTTGCCTTCAGAACAACCTCAATTTGTCAGGGGAAGGACACTACAAGGCGTCGAAAGCGTTCCACAGGGATGCTGGATATTGACTTCAATGCTTCCCACAGTTGTATCAAGTTGGATGGATGTTCTTTGGGTAGTGGACCATTCTTGATACACAGAGAAACTGTTGAGCGTGAAAAATCCAGCAGCGTTGCAGTTCTTGACACATACCGGTGTGCCTGGCACCTACTACCATACCCCGTTCAAAGGCACTTAAATATTTTGTCTTGTCCATTCACCCTCTGAATGGCACATATACACAATATATGTTTCAATTGTCTCAAGGCTTAAAAATCCTTCTTTAACCTGTCTCCTCCCCTTCATCTACACTGATTTGAAGTGGATTTAACAAGTGAAATCAATAAGGGATCATAGCTTTCACCTGTATTCACTTGGTCAGTCTGTCATGGAAAGAGCAGGTGTTCCTAATGTTTTGTACATTCAGTGTATATTGAATATACAATAAAACACAGTATAATACACCCTAGCAGGCAGTTTTTCCAAGCACCGTCTCACACTCCATATCACCTTATACAAGCCATTTTATATGTTCTAGCAGAACCATTTTTATTACTGAAGTGACACACTTATAAAACACTCAAAAGTCAGTAATGTTGACTCTCTTTATGTAAAGTGTTTATGAGTGTTCTAATTCTAAAGATGAAGGGTGACCAAGATTTTTTCCTTCATTTTTTTTATTTGACCTCTTGTGATGTAATTCTCACTGTCCTGTAGACGCAGCTGTGTTTTCTCTCCTCTTCTCAGAGATTTAGGTCAGACGATGTATGTAACTAAAGGAGGGCAGACTTACTCTCCTTAGCCCAGCATTGATCTTTCCATATAACCTGTATGTCTGTCTGCCTGCCTGCCTGCCTTCCTGCATGCCTGCCTGCCTGCCTGCCTGCCTCTTATAGAGATATTTTTACCATCCCTCTCCTTAGGGCTCTCAGTACATTAACTTCAATAGATGTACTGTCCTAACATAAATGTACATTTCAACACACACACATGCATAAAAGACAATGTGAACCATAAAGCTGGGGTTCTTTCCTCTGCCCAGGCCATGTTCCCAATGTTCCCTGGCTAATGTGTGTGCACACAGGCTGTTTGCTCATCTCAAAAGGTAACAGGAGGAGGGGGTTACTTTACCTCTGAGCAAACGGACTGACACACACAAAGGCCTGGCTGTTACATATCAAACCTCACTTCTATACAGGTCCCATTTTTTCTCTTCATTTGATGTTTTTTTTCTTATGTTTGCCAACATTGCTGAGAGTTCATTTAGGTTGTGCCAAAAGTGGAGTTGTACATCTAAGCTCCTTGTGTAGTATGGTCTTGTATAGTTCCTTAGCTAACCCGGTTTCCCTCTCTGCCGCTCTTGTCTTGTCTCAGGAGAAAGGAGTCAGGGTGCCGCGACCCTTCTCCAGTGGACCCAGTGCCTTCATTCCAGAAGAGGAGGTGAGAAAATGCTTTCTTTCTTTGCTTTGAGGCTATATTTCCCCTGTCCTGTCTATTCTCTCTCGTTCTCCCTCACTGTCACTTTCGCTTAATCTCTCTCGCTTTTTCCCCTTTGTCTATATCTTCCCACCTTTATCTTCACCTAGCCTGGAACTCAGACATGTAAACCATATTTCAGATTACAGCAGCAGCAGCTTTACTGTAAAATGGTTCAATACACACTGCCTGACTGAAAGCCCTCACTTCCCAACCCCTCTCTTCCCTGTCCTGCCTGACCTCTTCCCCCCAACCCTCCGCCCTGGGTCCAGATTGTGGAGGCGTCCCAGGTGGACCCCCACACAGAGCAGATCCTGGCCGAGGCCTACTCTCCATCGGGTCACGTGGACCATCTGACCCGGGTGATGGGACTGCACCCCCACTACCTGGAGTCCTTCCTGCGTAGCCAGTTCTACCTGCTGAGGATGGACGGCCCCCTGCCTCTCCACTGCCGACACTACATTGCCATCATGGTAAACACTGATATAGGATGAACTTAGAGATTGTCATTGGGTGTGTCTGAAATGACACCCTATTTCCCTATCCTCCTGAGACCCAGGATGTTTTTTTACATCACATTTCTCAAAGAAGAAAGTGTGAAAAAATATTTGTATTTATTTTTTATTGTACAGTCGTGGTCAAAAGTTTTGAGAATGACACAAATATTAATTTTCACAAAGTCTGCTGCCTCAGTTTTTATGATGGCAATTTGCATATACTCCAGAATGTTATGAAGAGTGATCAGATTAATTGCAAAATCCCTCTTTGCCATGAAAATTAACTTAATCCCCAAAAAACATTTCCACTGCATTTCAGCCACAAAAGGACCAGCTGACATCATGTCAGTGATTCTCTCGTTAACACAGATTAGAGTGTTGACGACGACAAGGCTGGAGATCACTGTCATGCTGATTGAGTTAGAATAACAGACTGGAAGCTTTAAAAGGAAGATGGTGCTTGAAATCATTGTTCTTCCTCTGTTAACCATGGTTACCTGCAAGGAAACACGTGCCGTCATCATTGCTTTGCACAAAAAGGGCTTCACAGGCAAGGATATTGCTGCTAGTAAGATTGCACCTAAATCAACCATTTATCAGATCATCAAGAACTTCAAGGAGAGAGGTTCAATTGTTGTGAAGAAAGCTTCAGGGCGCCCAAGAAAGTCCAGCAAGCGCCAGGAATGTCTCCTAAAGTTGATTCAGCTGCGGGATCGGGGCACCACCAATGCAGAGCTTGCTCAGGAATGGCAGCAGGCAGGTGTGAGTGCATCTGCACGCACAGTGAGGTGAAGACTTTTGGAGGATGGCCTGGTGTCAAGAAGGGCAGCGAGGAAGCCACTTTTCTCCAGGAAAAACATCAGGGACAGACTGATATTCTGCAAAAGGTACAGGGATTGGACTGCTGAGGACTGGGGTAAAGTCATTTTCTCTGATGAATCCCCTTTCCGATTGTTTGGGGCATCCGGAAAAAAGCTTGTCTGGAGAAGACCAGGTGAGCGCTACCATCAGTCCTGTGTCATGCCAACAGTAAAGCATCCTGAGACCATTCATGTGTGGGGTTGCTTCTTAGCCAAGGGAGTGGGCTCACTCACAATTTTGCCTAAGAACACAGCCATGAATAAAGAATGGTACCAACACATCATCCGAGAGCAACTTCTCCCAACCATCCAAGAACAGTTTGGTGACGAACAATGCCTTTTCCAGCATGATGGAGCACCTTGCCATAAGGCAAAAGTGATAACTAAGTGGATCGGGGAACAAAACATCGACATTTTGGGTCCATGGCCAGGAAACTCCCCAGACCTTAATCCCATTGAGAACTTGTAGTCAATCCTCAAGAGGCTGGTGGACAAACAAAACCCCACAAATTCTGACAAACTCCAAGCATTGATTATGCAAGAATGGGCTGCCATCGGTCAGGATGTGGCCCAGAAGTTAATTGACAGCATGCCAGGGCGGATTGCAGAGGTCTTGAAAAAGAAGGGTCAACACTGCAAATATTGACTCTTTGCATAAACTAAATGTAATTGTCAATAAAAGGCTTTGACACTTATGGAATGCTTGTAATTATACTTAAGTATACCATAGTAACATCTGACAAAAATATCTAAAAACACTGAAGCAGCAAACTTTGTGAAGACCAATACTTGTGTCATTCTCAAAACACAGTGGCATGTATGGCCTCAGAGATACGGACCCAAAACAAATCACCATTAGAGTGGAAAAAAATTAATTGCTGGGTCTCAGGAGGCTGTATAGTGCACTACTTTTGACCAGAGCCCTGGTACCTCAGCAGAGGGAGTGTACTATATATAGAGTGCCATTTCCAACGCAGCCATTGTTCCCTGTAAGGGTTGAGGTTAGGATTTGGGTAAGGTAAGCTGATTCTATGGGCAGCTTCTACCTGCAGCTGCATGGTATGGGATAGGGCAAAGGTCAAACTAAGCTGGGAAAAAATGTTTCCTGCATATACACATCCTCCCTTAGAGCCTCCCTCTCCCTGCTCAGGAGACCTACCTAATACAAATCTCCTACTGACCCACATTCATATCTATCTAATGACCCATTTCCCTAACAACCAATGGCTATCTTTCCCGGAGTGACGGATGATGTTTTCCGTATGGTGTTAAAACTTTCACCTCAGTGCTGAGATGACCCTGGGGTGGTGCTGGACTGAGGATGCTTCTGTAGCTAGTAGAGAGAAAGAGATAGTGGAGACATTAAGCAGGGCAGTGTTTGCCCTGTGCTCAGACGCACTGGCCCTCAACACCTCCGTCTGTGGAGCTTTGGTATGCAGCCAACTCAGAGGGTCCTACCAACCCCCCCCCCCGACTCCAGCCCACCTCCAACTCGCCCTCTTCCTGATGTGGCCCTTCCACAACAAGGTCAAAGTCACCCCCCTCACTCTTAAGACACAGAATATTATGTTAGGAGGAACAGCTTAATGTAATGCAGTGTTAAAGAAACATTTAATGTACAGAGTAAAATAGGTCATGTTTAGAATTTAGACAGATACAATATGCCTATACTGTAAAACTTTAATTTAAAGATCATGCATTTTACAGACAATATTTATGCTTTATATTAAAGTCTGCTTATTTACTTAGACATTATGTTAATTTCATAATGATGACATTTGAGTTTTGTTAGATATTCTTTGAAACAAGCAACACTTTGTACCATTTAGTACTTGCTGAATGCCAGCTAAAACCGGACTGTCAAATACAGTATTACCCAGAAAACAGTATATAGAACATGAATATAAAGACAGTTTAGACAGTAGAAAACATACACAGTTCATACAGTAAAGGAAGAGTTTTCACAGTGAGCTATATTTCATCAACAAAAAAAAACTGTGCGTCTCCAGGCTGCAGCGCGTCACCAGTGTTCCTTCCTGGTGTCTCTGCATGTGCGTGAGTTCTACAGGATGGGGATGTGTCTAGACTGGCTGAAGGGTCTACAGTACGCCCCTCAGAGACTGAGGAACCTCAACGAGATCAACAAGATCCTAGCACACAGGCCCTGGCTCATCACCAAAGAGCACATTCAGGTTAGAACACAGACATGCATAAAACATACTCATATTCAAGTACATTATCTACATATGCACATATGAGATATATATATATATATATATATATACACAGTGGGGAGAACAATTATTTGATACACTGCCGATTTTGCAGGTTTTCCTACTTACAAAGCATGTAGAGGTCTGTCATTTTTATCATAGGTACACTTCAACTGTGAGAGACGGAATCTAAAACAAAAATCCAGAAAATCACATTGTATGATTTTTAAGTAATTTAGTTTGCATTTTATTGCATGACATAAGTATTTGATACATCAGAAAAGCAGAACTTAATATTTGGTACAGAAACCTTTGTTTGCAATTACAGAGATCATACGTTTCCTGTAGGTCTTGACCAGGTTTGCACACACTGCAGCAGGGATTTTGGCCCACTCCTCCATACAGACCTTCTCCAGACCCTTCAGGCTTTGGGGCTGTCGCTGGGCAATACGGACTTTCAGCTCCCTCCAAAGATTTTCTATTGGGTTCAGGTCTGGAGTCTGGCTAGGCCACTCCAGGACCTTGAGATGCTTCTTACGGAGCCACTCCTTAGTTGCCCTGGCTGTGTGTTTCGGGTCGTTGTCATGCTGGAAGACCCAGCCACGACCCATCTTCAATGCTCTTACTGAGGGAAGGAGGTTGTTGGCCAAGATCTCGCGGTACATGGCCCCATCCATCCTCCCCTCAATACGGTGCAGTCGTCCTGTCCCCTTTGCAGAAAAGCATCCCCAAAGAATGATGTTTCCACCTCCATTCTTCACGGTTGGGATGGTGTTCTTGGGGTTGTACTCATCCTTCTTCTTCCTCCAAACACGGCGAGTGGAGTTTAGACCAAAAAGCTCTATTTTTGGCTCATCAGACCACATGACCTTCTCCCATTCCTCCTCTGGATCATTCAGATGGTCATTGGCAAACTTCAGACGGGCCTGGACATGCGCTGGCTTGAGCAGGGGGACCTTGCGTGCGCTGCAGGATTTTAATCCATGACGGCGTATTGTGTTACTAATGGTTTTCTTTGAGACTGTGGTCCCAGCTCTCTTCAGGTCATTAACCAGGTCCTGCCGTGTAGTTCTGGGCTGATCCCTCACCTTCCTCATGATCATTGATGCCCCACGAGGTGAGATCTTGCATGGAGCCCCAGACCGAGGGTGATTGACCGTCATCTTGAACTTCTTCCATTTTCTAATAATTGCGCCAACAGTTGTTGCCTTCTCACCAAGCTGCTTGCCTATTGTCCTGTAGCCCATCCCAGTCTTGTGCAGGTCTACAATTGTATCCCTGATGTCCTTACACAGCTCTCTGGTCTTGGCCATTGTGGAGAGGTTGGAGTCTGTTTGATTGAGTGTGTGGACAGGTGTCTTTTATACAGGTAACGAGTTCAAACAGATGCAGTTAATACAGGTAATGAGTGGAGAACAGGAGGACTTCTTAAAGAAAAACTAACAGGTCTGTGAGAGCCGGAATTCTTACTGGTTGGTAGGTGATCAAATACTTATGTCATGCAATAAAATGCAAATTAATTACTTAAAAATCATACAATGTGATTTTCTGGATTTTTGTTTTAGATTCCGTCTCTCACAGTTGAAGTGTACCTATGATAAAAAATGACAGACCTCTACATGCTTTGTAAGTAGGAAAACCTGCAAAATCGGCAGTGTATCAAATACTTGTTCTCCCCACTGTATATATATATATATATATATATATATATTCACTAACACACACACACATGCATGACTTTTATCCACATACTCACACATAAAGTAACTCACACTAAACCTCTTTCTCTCCTCCCTCTACCTCAGAACTTGGTGAAGACAGGGGAGCACAGTTGGTCTTTGGCGGAGCTGGTCCATGCTGTTGTCCTATTGGCCCATTTCCATGCCCTGGCCAGCTTTGTGTTTGGCAGTGGTATCAATCCCCAGGTGGATACACAGAATGCCAACGGCTTTCAGTCCGTTTACATCAGCAACTACTGTACATGTGACTTGGCCAGCGACCATCACCTGGATCGAGACCTCAGCAGCACCAGCCCCGGGGTGAGATGACATACATGACTTACTGTTGAGCTGTTTTACTGAGTTGATTTAGCTACATGTGTGTTTGGAGGGATTGTGTTGGAACAGTACAGTACCAGTCAAAAGTTTGGACACATGTAATCATTCCAGGGTTTTTCTTTATTTTTACTATTTTCTACATTGTAGAATAATAGTGAATACATCAAAACTATGAGATAACACATATGGGATCATGTAGTAACCAAAAAAAGTGTTAACAAATCAAAATATATTTGAGATTTGAGATTCTTCAAAGTAGCCACCCTTTGCCTTGATGACAGCTTTGCACACTCTTGGCATTCTTTCAACCAGCTTCATGAGGTAGTCACCTGGAATGCATTTCAATTAACAGGTGGGCCTTGTTAAAAGTTAATTTAATGCATTTGAGCCAATCAGTTGTGTTGTGACAAGGTAGGGTTGGTATACAGAAGATAGCCCTATTTGGTAAAAGACCAAGTCCATATTATGGCAAGAACAGCTCAAATAAGCAAAGAGAAACGACAGTCCATCATTACTTTAAGACATGAAGGTCAGTCAATCCAGAACATTTCAAGAACTTTGAACGTTTCTTCAAGTGCAGTTGCGAAAACTATCAAGCGCTATGATGAAACTGGCTCTCATGAGGACTGCCACAGGAAAGGAAGACCCAGAGTTACCTCTGCTGCAGAGGATAAGTTCATTAGAGTTAACTACACCTCAGATTGAACGCTGCTGGCACCCGCCCACCCGACTAGAATCACTACTCTCGACGGGTCTGACCTAGAGTATGTGGACAACTACAAATACCTAGGTGTCTGGTTAGACTGTAAACTCTCCTTCCAGACTCACATTAAGAATCTCCAATCCAAAGTTAAATCTAGAATCGGCTTCCTATTTCGCAACGAAGCCTCCTTCACTCATGCTGCCAAACATGCCCTCGTAAAACTGACTATCCTACCGATCCTTGACTTCGGCGATGTCATTTACAAAATAGCCTCCAACACTCTACTCAGCAAATTGGATGTAGTCTATCACAGTGCCATCCGTTTTGTCACCAAAGCCCCATATACTACCCACCACTGTGACCTGTACGCTCTTGTTGGCTGGTCCTCACTACATATTCATCGCCAAACCCACTGGCTCCAGTCCATCTATAAATCACTGCTAGGCAAATCCCCGCCTTATCTTAGCTCATTGGTCACCATAGCAACACCCACCCGTAGTATGCGCTCCAGCAGGTATATCTCACTGGTCATCCCCAAAGCCAACACCTCCTTTGGCTGCCATTCCTTCCAGTTCTCTGCTGCCAATGACTGGAACGGATTGCAAAAATCTCTGAAGCTGGAGACTCTTATCTCCCTCACTAACTTTAAGCGTCAGTTGTCAGAGCAGCTTACCGATCACTGCACCTGCACACAGCCATTCTGAAATTAGCCCCTCCAACTACCTCATCCCCATATTGTTATTTATTTTGCTCATTTGCACCCCAGTATCTCTATTTGCACATCATCTCTTGCACATCTATCATTCCAGTGTTAATACTAATTGTAATTATTTTGCAATATAGCCTATTTATTGCCTTACCTCCATAACTTGCTACATTTGCACACACTGTATATATATTTTCTGTTGTATTTTTAACTTTATGTTTTGTTTTACCCCATATGTAACTCTGTGTTGTTTTTATCGCACTGCTTTGCTTTATCTTGGCCTGGTCGCAGTTGTAAATGAGAACTTGTTCTCAACTGGCTTACCTGGTTAAATAAAGGTAAAAAAAAAAAAGATTGCAGCACAAATAAATGCTTCAGAGTTCAAGTAACAGACACATCTCAACGTCAACTGTACAGAGGAGACTGCGTGAATCAGGCCTTCATGGTCGAAATGCTGCAAGAAACCACTACTAAAGGACACCAATAAGAAGAAGAGACTTGCTTGGGCCAAGAAACACAAGCAATGGACATCAGACCGGTGAAAATCTGTCCTTTGGTCTGATGAGTCCAAATTTGAGATTTTTGGTCCAACCGCTGTGTCTTTGTGAGACGCAGAGTAGGTGAACGGATGATCTCTGCATGTGTGGTTCCCGTCGTAAAGCATGGAGGAGGAGGTGTGATGGTGTGGGGGTGCTTTGATGGTGACACTGTGGGTGATTTATTTAGAATTCAAGGTACACTTAACCAGCATGGCTACCACAGCATTCTGCAGCGATACGCCATCTGGTTTGCGCTTAGTGGGACTATCATTTGTTTTTCAACAGGACAATGACCCAAAACACACCTCCAGGCTGTGTAAGGGCTATTTGACCAAGAAGGAGAGTGATGGAGTGCTGCATCAGATGACCTGGCCTCCACAATCACCCGACCTTAACTCAATTGAGATGGTTTGGGATGAGTTGGACCGCAGAGTGAAGGAAAAGCAGCCAACAAGTGCTCAGCATATGTGGGAACTCCTTCAAGACTGTGGGAAAAGCATTCCTCATGAAGCTGGTTGAGAGAATGCCAAGAGTGTGCAAAGCTGTCATCAAGGCAAAGGGTGGCTACTTTGAAGAATCTCAAATATAACATACATTTAGATTTGTTTAACAATTTTTTGGGTATTACATGATTCCATATGTGTTATTTCATAGTTTTGATGTCTTCACTATTATTCTACAATGTAGAAAATAGTAAAAATAAAGAAAAACCCTTGAATGAGTAGGTATGTCCAAACTTTTGACTGGTACTGTATGTGTGACTCTATTGTCACATTAATAGAGTTCTGGTTTGTTGTGTGTTTCAGACCACAGACTCAGTCAGTGAGTTAGAGGCGCTGATGGACAGAATGAAGAGGCTGCAGGAGGAGAGAGAGGAGGATGAGGCCTCGCAGGAGGAGATGGCCACACGCTTCGAGAAAGAGAAGAAAGAGAGCCTCCTGGTGGGCTCTGGGGGTACTGCAGCCACACCTGTTCCTGTTGTCTGTCTCTCACTGAGTACTACTGTAAACCTGTCAGTGAAGTCATGACTGATTATAATCCATCTCCATTGTGACTGCAGATATGAAGGATGAGGTGATGCCCACATCCAAAGTGTCTCGGTTTGTGGAGGATGCCACTTTTGGGTACCAGAACTTTGCTCGACACGGAGAGGACAACCCACCAACATTTAGAGCCCAGGTGGGGGATAATTACAGATCAAATTAATCTAAATTCCATTATCATGCCATAAGTGCAAGGCCTATAGATTTAACAGTCACTTCTTAAAACCTAAATGTCTCTCTCTATGTCTGTCTGTCTGTCTGCTTTAGGACTACTCGTGGAAGGACCATGGTTTCTCTCTGGTCAACAGGCTGTATTCAGACATTGGCCTGCTGCTGGATGACAAGTTCCGGACAGCGTGTGACCTGACCTACTACAACATGGCCAGTCACGAGGACGTGGACACCACCATGCTCCGACGTGCACTCTTCAACTACGTGCACTGCATGTATGGCATCAGGTAAGACAGCGCCCTCTTTCCTCAGTCACATACACTTCTCATGCACTATCAAGTGTGGACACTTGGTGTCAAGTTAGTGTGATAATGATTATATTCAAATGAGTGAGTAAGTGATTGTTGAAGCCCTGGAATAGTCCCTGAAGTCCAGTAGAAATGGCCAAGTAGACAGTAAAGTGATGCTCCAGTCTGATAGAATGATTTGCTTGATGTCCTGTCTGCAGGTATGATGACTATGACTATGGGGAGGTGAATCAGCTATTAGAACGCAGTCTGAAGGTCTATATAAAGACGGTAACATGTTATCCAGAGAGGACCACTCGCCGCATGTACGACAGCTACTGGCGCCAGTTCCGCCACTCCGAGAAGGTTAGAAAACTGTCAATGCTTGTGTGTGTTTTTGTGTGTGTGTTTGTGAGAGGGCATAATCTTATGTTGTGTGTATTCTTTGCAAACAAGCATACACCGTCCACAGCCACAAAAATGATATTCTGAATCCTGATATATTTTTGTAACTAGGCCAGAGTTCAGTGGCAGGGTTGGTCATGCTGTTCGATTGTGTTTGTGCAGGAGGCTTTGGCTCATGAGTACACTAGGACTATTGAGCAGAGCTGAAGTAAATGAAGCTCTTGGCCGCAGGAACATGCTGTTATTGTGTTTGAGTTGTTCTGCAGAGAGGCCCCCTGTTGGAATCTGACTGGGCTGAAAGAGATGAAAGACGAGCAAGTTACTCCATGTATCATTAGGAACAGCAGGGTAGAAGGGGCATTGTCTTGTTCTTAAAGCTTATGTGAGATGTCTTTTGTAGCCTTCTGCTATTTTCTGCAAATGCATATCCATTTTACAGCTCAGTGGCTGTCCATACTGCAGTCCATACCATGGCAGTTATATAAAGTAACTGTACTGTGTTATAGTATGTACTGTATGGTATGTTAATCCTCTGGCCTCCCTGTCCCCCTCCAGGTCCATGTGAACCTACTCCTAATGGAGGCCAGGATGCAGGCAGAACTGCTATACGCCCTGCGCGCCATCACACGCTACATGACCTGACCCTGACCAACCACAGCGGGTTGTCTTTCTCCAACTGACCAATAGAAAACCCCAGCCCTCCACAGTCCTCATCACCCCACCTCCCCCCAACACCACCACTGGCCTTCCCCTCTCCACAGCCCCAGGACGAGGCCTCTTGGAACCAGAAAACTGTCTCTCTACCAGGCACATGACCCTAAAACTGGCCTCCTACTGTGTGGTTGGGGGGGGGGACTTTGAGGTCTTTTTAGCTTAATGCCCTTGTAAAGAGGAAGTTTGTGAAAATGAAGGAAATCCTACTGTGAGTGTATAAAAGTGAAAACAGGGGTGCACATGACTGACTGTTATCATCCTCCTTTGCCAAAATCTAAATGGCAGTTTGGCTTTAGTTTGGAAATTGTTTATCCAAGCAACCTCACAAAGTACTGAACTCCAGCTCTAAGGAGGATACTGAATAGCCAGAAACAGTGTTACACAAGAATATACCTCTGAATGTAATGCCTTGATTTGGGACAGACCCACCAATATCAGAAGCAAGATTAGAAGTTTATCTGATTGACAGAGCAAGCCCTTTTGTGGCACTCAGATGTTTTAAAAAGTGCAATATGTCTCCTTACCTTTTTTTTATTATATATGTTTTGCAACTTGAAAGGCTGTGACAGAATACTTTTCAGTATATTTATACCTTTGTCAATACATTTGGCTAATGAAAATATTTCTTAAACGATTTCTCTGCAATATTTGGCCTAATATAGAGTATGTATCACAGCAGGGAGCACACAAGCAACATTATCAGCAATTGTAGGATTGTTTTATTTAGTTATTTCTTTCCCTCTCATCCTGTTTGTGACATATTTCTGTGCCAAATGTTTCTAACAGGGTCTGTAAGACATTAATAATGCCTACTTGTCTATATTTCTACCAAAGATGTCGTGTACAGTACAGATGTTAGATCCATGAGACATTTTCAAAATAAAATGTATATTCCATTAGGAAGTACAGTACATTTCAGAACAGAGATAAGCTACAGTACGTAGTGGTGGGAATGTGCTCTTTGTTTTGAAATTACTGAAGTATCACCACATGAGTGAATGCCTAACACTAACCCTAAAATGTGCACTGTTAACTTTGTCTCACCAGCATTTATCTGATGCTTAATTCTTCATCAGTGTAGGGTTGGAAAAGTCATGGTGCTTTTGTGAATGATTGTTGCTCTTTGCACATTTGTATCTGCACGTTGGAACGTTGGTTATTCCCAGTTGGAAATATGCAAGAAATGTTTGTATTTCCTTGAAAATCCTCTCTCCCTTCTCTCGAATCTTTCTCAAATATCAAGACATTGCATTGTATGTCTCAGATGTGAAATGTGTCATATATTAGCATCCCCTCCCCCCATTTCTGTATAGGTTTAGATAGTTTAGATGTATTGATAAAAAAATATATCTGAACTCAGATGCCATTCACCAAAGTACTATTTACTGTTTGCCAACCTACCTTAAGTTTTTATAGTGTTTTTCAACAACAAAAAAGAATAAACATTTTGCGTTAACAAGACCAATTAGGTAATGTATCATCCGAATTATAACCGATGAAGATGGAAGCTGAGTTGTCTAAACTTTACAAATTAATAATCTACTGGTCTGAGAGTTCAATCTGCACTTTTCTTTCTCTTACCCAGATTGTGCTTCAGGATTGTTGTAATAGTTTTGGGAGGTCGTGCCTTCTTTATCAAAGCCACATTCAGTCGTTTTTCAATTAAAACAACTGTAAAATGAAAACTACAACTGAAACTATATTTCACACAGTGCTTGTAAGGAAACAATAAAGAAGTTAAGAAATACATCTACATATGTGTTCTGTTTATTTGATATATCAACATGCATCCCGGTAACTTGATGTATGATAGTGGTACGTGTGCTACATATCAAATCTGTTTAATCAGTCAACATTTTAATATCATAGATTTAAAAAAACGGTGGAATGAAAATTTGGCCATTTGAAAAAACGTCTCACACACGCCAACTATAAAATCGCGTTTCGAACTTGCTGTTTGACCTTTCCGTTGTTCCGTATAAATTGTTCATACGCTGTGACGTCAGCGGCTACAATCCAAACGGCCCTTTCTCTTTCTGATAGTGTGAGGAAAAAGGTAAATTTTCAACAAATGATTCCATATTAGCTCATTGTTTTTTAAAAGAGAAAGATAGCTAGTTATGGTATTATTTTAGTAAACGTGTAGCTTGCATTACCGTATGACTGTTATTCTTCCAGCACACCAACGTTAACTGTCAGCATGTAAGAAAGCTTGCTACAATAACTACTAGCTAGCTAACGTTAGCATAGACAAGTGTGTTGGTGTTTGCTTAGCAATAATCAATACCAATGTTATAAAAAAAATCCACACAATGGTGAAATCGTTTGTAAATTAGCTATAATAGCTAGCTTTGTCGATTGGTAAGCTATATAGCAAGCCTATATGGCTATTTTGATTAAGTAGCTAGTTAGCTACTAGCCAACTCATCTCAGACGTCCACCGGGTTGTTTGTTTTTCTCATCATGGCGAGTTCGCTAACGTTTGCTAGCTAAATACGGATTGAGTTCTGTTAACGTGACATATGTTGATAAAATATTTGATCAGATTATCTTTGTTGCCCTCTGTTCTAGCTAGCTATATTTCACTGGGTTTACCATTTTTACAGAGCCACCAAAAATGACAACAGCAGCGAGACCGACGTTTGAGCCAGCGAGAGGAGGGAGAGGGAAGGGAGAGGGCGATCTCAGTGCGTTGTCCAAACAGTACTCAAGCCGAGATTTGCCTGGTCACACTAAGATCAAATACAGGTGAGTGACACAACACAACCTATCCTAACCTATCTTTGCCCTTGTGGCTAAGTGTTGCACCAGTAGTTGGGAACAGGTCCCTCTGGTTAAAGATAAAGTGCTGTCTCATCCAGAATGTCTCCCTTTGTGATCCCTTCAGGCAGCTCACCCAGGATGCCCCCGAGGAGGTGCGTGCCCGGGACTTCCGCAGGGAGCTGGAGGAGAGGGAGCGTGTTGCTGTCCGGGAGAAGACTAGAGAGAGGGGACCTAGAGGTGAGTCTCCAGGCATACACATAAACCCAGATCCGAGCTAAATATTGACCTGAACGTAAATGTGTCTAACTGTGTGTAAAGAAGATCAACAAGATTTTTTGCATCTGACATACCATTATGGCCAAAGTCTTTTTTTAATTTTGTTTTGTTGACATGAGTCATCTGCAGGGGATTTCATCTCAAGCCAGCATCATTAAAATTGTGGTTTGTCTCTTTTAAATGTTCAGAACACACCACATCCTCGTCTTCGTCCTCAAAGAGGCCCAGACTAGATCAGATCCCTGCTGCCAACCTGGATGCAGATGACCCTCTCACTGACGTAGGTGCCACCTGTTCATCCACCAGTCACATCAAAGTCTGTGTTTTTTTTTAAAGCTCAGCCTCAAACCTTCATTGTTTTATGTTTTGGGGTGTAGGATGAGGAGGAAGATGACTCTGAGGAGGACAGTGATGACGATGACACTGCGGCTCTGCTGGCTGAACTGGAGAAAATCAAGAAGGAGCGGGCTGAGGAGCAGGAACGCAAGGTAAGCTGCCAACGCAGCAACCCGAGTTGCTACAAGACAATCAATTGCTGCTAGGTCAGTCGCGCCAGTTGAGTCCAGCCAAATACAAATGGCTTTTTCAGGTGTTGCTTAGTAGGAGCAGAGAATAGGGCTCTATTGACTTGCTAAATGAATGGATTGTTTTGTTTTGATATTATCTCTGACATTTTCAGACTTTAAAGGTCATCTAATGTAGAGATGAGCATCTGTTGTGTAGATCCAGCCTATTTCCCCTATTCATTTGGGATTGAGGCATTTAGCTACAGTTACAAAACAGATTGTGGGGAATGTGAAATCATTCTTGATTTTGATAACTTTTGAGGTCTGAACATATTGGACATAATTTGATCATGTGAACTGTAACATTCTAACATTTCATATATGTTTTTGCAAAAATAATCATTTGGCTGTGTTTATGAAGGTCTTAGGTAACAAATAACTTTCTTCTGAAACTCGTCAGTCTATTCGCGTTCTGAGAAATTAAGGCTATTCCATGCGAGAAATTGCCAAGAAACAGAAGATCTCGTACAACGCTGTGTACTACTCCCTTCACAGAACAGAGCAAACTGGCTCTTAACCAGAATAGAAAGAGGAGTGGGAGGCCCCGGTGCACAACTGAGCAAGAGGACAAATACATTAGTGTCTAGTTTGAGAAACAGATGCCTCACAGGTCCTCAACTGGCAGCTTCATTAAATAGTACCCACAAAACACCAGTCTCAACACCAACAGTGAAGAGGCGACTCCATTATGCTGACCTTCTAGGCAGAGTTGCAAAGAAAAAGCCATATCTCAGACTGGCCATCTTCATCTTTTCTTTTTATTTGCAACTCCTCTTTCTGTTCTGGTTAGAGCCAGTTTGCGCTGTTCTGTGAAGGGAGTAGTACACAGCGTTGTACGAGATCTTCAGTTTATTGGCAATTTCTCGCATGGAATAGCCTTAATTTCTCAGAACAAAAATAGACTGACGAGTTTCAGAAGAAAGTTTTTTGTTTCTGGCCATTTTGAGCCTGTAATCGAACCCACAATTGCTGATGCGCCAGATACTCAACTAGTCTCAAGAAGGCCAGTTTTATTGCTTCTTTAATCCGCACAAAAGGGTTTTCTAATGATCAATTAGCCTTTTTAAAATGATCAACTTGGATTAGCAAACACAATGTGCCATTGGAACACAGGACTGATGGTTGCTGATAATGGGCCTATGTACACTAATTTAGATATTCCATAAAAAAATAAGCCATTTCCAGCTACAATAGCCATTTACAACATTAACAATGTCTACACTGTATTTCTGATCAATTTGATGTTATTTTAATGGACATTTCTAAGTGACCCCAAACTTTTGAACGGTAGTGTGTATATATTTCAAATAACACTAGCATTTTCATTAGTTTATGTAAAAACAAAAAATCACCAAGATTCAAGTGTTCAATCAATGTTATTAGTGGAGTGCCTTTGTTACAGCTATTAAACAGAAAGCATGTGTTGAAACACGGTAATAACTTATTTTTATAACCTAAAAAAATACCCCAACCACCAAGTCAGCAAGACGCGCAATCAAAATGATGAAAACATCAGTAGTCTATAAACATCATTATAAGCGCAAAGTGTGCTTGATAAATAGTGAAAATCGGCACAAAAGCAATAATGGCATTATAATTAATGTAAGTGTCGATATGAAAGCAGTCAAAAAAATATTATTGTCTGCTTGTGCTTACGTGGTATTCACGCAACGGCATGAATTGGCATATGTCCATATAAACAACGAAAGCTGGTGAGTGCGTTGCTGATGTTTTTTGCTTAATGTGTAGGGTCTGCGCTCTCAGTGATTACATTTTGTGCTGATAATCGGCCCGTAACATTGTCACTGGCTTGTTCTATCCAAACTGTGCCGTCCCTTCCTGTCTCACCGTTTCATTTGGTGGTGGCGCGGGCACCTACTCAGTTTGCACCTTTCTGGCTTTTTTCGCGCGTAGGCCCGGGAGGTGTAGGTTCAGGCTGAGGCTGAGGCTCAGAATCAGAAGAATAATCATCATCAGAGATGTCATGATTCATTTCTTCCTCACCATCTGAGTCGTTTTCATTCAGATTTTGCATCCATCAGCATATGAATCCATTCGTCTTGGTCTTCTTGCCATTGTAAATGACGCACCCTCAGTGTGTAGCCTACTCCAAATAGGCCAGGGTGGACTGATATAGGGCACATACCATTTAGAGATAAGAATTAGAACAGATCAATACAATAGAATGGCCATTATTGGCCCTGTTCTTCATTCACAATTGGTGATTACATAATTATGCATCGTTTGCTGCCCCTCGCTCATCAACACCCATTATCCCCCTTTCTCCCCCATCACATACTTTACTTCATTTATTTCATCTGTTGTATGTGTGAAATTAGTTTCGGGGCAATTATCAAATTGATTATCAACACAGCACGGCACCTTCAACTATCAGGAGGAGCGGTGCAGGCCCTACTGTTGGGAGTGGGGGGGGGGAAACATTATAAAAATGTGTGTTATACAGACTTATTTAGGAAAAATCAATGACGGGGGGCATGACTTAAAAAATGGCGGAGTAATAAACAGTAATAATTAATGAGCAGTCCAAATGACTGCTTTAGCAGTTCTAGTGTTAAACATGTTGACCTTTTTGTTGATGATTTGAGATTAGTGTTTGCGAGAGAGCTTTGCACCTGGTCCGCTCTGACCAACATGTTTCGTGTCCTGTGCCAGGAGCGGGAGCAGAAAGCAGAGGAGGAGAGGATCCGCATGGAAAACATCCTTAGTGGGAATCCTCTGCTCAACCTGGCTGGGCAGCAGCAACAACAACAACAGATAGTCCCCACCCCGACTGCCTTCAGCGTCAAGAGAAGGTGTTGAGACACACACACACACACACACACAACTGCTTAGGGCATGGCTGTGGATGACTGTTGTTTTACATCCTCTCCTGTCTCTTTAAGGTGGGACGATGACGTCGTGTTCAAGAACTGTGCAAAGGGAGTGGATGAGGCACGCAGGGAGAAACGCTTTGTCAACGACACTCTGCGCTCGGAGTTCCACAAGAAATTCATGGAGAAATATGTGAAGTAGGACTTGCAGCGCTGCTATGAAGGTGTTTCATTTCTCTCTGCTCTGTTCCCAGTTCTAAGGTAGAGGACATTTTCAGTAATAACTGACTGATAGGAATTGGTCTGAAAACATTGAATGGGCCTGAAGAATGGTGTCATCCTTCAACATGGAACACCACCAAATCCTCTGTATATAAATTAATCTAACTCCTAACCTTAAAATAGATTTAAACTAGTTTTGTTTCATGTACAATCATTTTCCACCCCTGAAAGGAATGGTTGCAATAGTGACATCATCAATGTCAACTTGTTGTTATTTAACTTTTACCTTACCATTTTTAGGTCCCAATGTCCATAAACGACAACAAAAAATAAAAACCCTATGTCTGTGAGAGACCCTTTATACTTTTTTCAATGCTTTTAGCTTTGTGCCCGGGAGTTATAATTCTGCAATGACTTCCATTAAAAGCTTGTCAGCAAGTTTTTTTTTTTTTTTTCTGTCCTTAAAATAAAAAGATTATGTTCAATTTAGGCCAAGATTCAATCAGTTCTGGCGCCAACCCGTGATAACCGACAACTGCACAGCAAGCAGTTGCATTGTTATTATTTAGGCGATGTCGAGGTGTAACTGCGTTGGGCCCCGTGTAGATCTGTTGGTAGAGCATGGCGTTTGCAACGCCAGGGTTGTGGGTTCGATTCCCACGGGGTATGAAAAAATGTATGCACTCACTAACTGTAAGTCGCTCTGGATAAGAGCGTCTGCTAAATGACTAAAATGTAAATCGGTGAGCGGCTGCTCTTTTCGTCATTGTCACAAAACCACATCCGTCCTTAAATCCGTCTCACGTTAGAAGTTCAGAAGGAGAAAGTGTAGGCTATGTAGAAATAATGACTCAAATTTGAAAACCATGAAACAAAATAAGGCTTGATATCAGCCTAATCGAGGTGTAGATTACAACACACATTCTGGTGTTCGAACTTGTGACAGGCTGCATGGGATTTATCCTACTGCGACTCGTGCATCCAATGGCAATGTCCACGATAGGTATAACAGGAGCCGCTTGCTGATTTACAGTTAGACCTCCGACATCGCCTAAATAATAAACAATGAAATTGCTATGCAGTTGTCAGTTATCACGGGTTAAGGCGGATCTGATTGAATCAAGCCCATGTCTGTGAGCCCAGAACCTGGACTGGGTGAATGTAAATATGTCTCCCTACATTTATTATGATATGTTACGTTTTCTATGTATTCATTAATTAGCTAAAGTGGTCCATGATGAGATTCGAACACGGCACCTTTGGGTTGCTAGACGTTCGCGTTATACGCCCCCACGCTGACCAACCTCCCTCCTTTTCGTTTTTGCCTCAAGTAACCTGTCTTATGTAAACCATACCAAATGTTTTTTTTATCTGTCTGTGCCCTTGAGGAAGGCACTTAACCGTAATTGCTCCTGTAAGTCGTTCTGGATAAGAGTGTCTGCTAAATGCCTAAAATGTAAATGTAACGTGACATACTAATTTGAGTGTCCCGGATTTACGTTTACTATGTTACGTCTAGTCTGAGACCAGGCTGATAGTGCACCACACAGTTCAACATTGCAGAGAAACCTGGAAAGATTCATAGAGAACTAAGTTTGTTGTCTGTATTATTTTGTCTGCTATGATGAGCTAAGCTGTTCCAACTGAATTATGGCCTTTTTAGAGCAAAGGTATGGTTTCTTGCGTGTGAATTTAAGCTTGCCAGAAGTAATTTTATCTCATGGTGAAAACATCTGTATTTTCATATATATACGGAACAAAAATATAAAACGCAACATGTAAAGTGTCGGTCCCATGTTTCATGAGCACTGAACAAAAATATAAATGCAACATGTAAAGTGTTGGTCCCATGTTTCATGAGCTGAAATAATAGATCCCAAAAATGTTCCATATGCACAAAAAGCTTATTTCTCTCAAATTTTGCGCACAAAGTTGTTTACATCCATCTAAGTGAGCATTTCACCTTTGCCAAGATAATCCATCCACCTGACAGGTGTGGCATATCAAGAAGCTGATTAAACAGCATGATCATTACACAGGTGCACCTTGTGCTTGGGACAATAAAAGGCCACTCTAAAATGTGCAGTTTTGTCACAACACAATGCCACAGATGAAGTTTTGAGGGAGCATGCAATTGTCATGCTGACTGCAGGAATGTCCACCAGAGCTGTTGCCAGATAATTGAATGTTCATTTCTCTACCATAAGCCGCCTCCAAGGTCATTTTAGAGAATTTGGCAATGCGTCCAACCGGCCTTACAACTGCAGACCATGTGTATGGCGTCATGTGGGCGAGCGGTTTGCTGATGTCAACATTGTGAACAGGGTGCTCCATGGTGGCGGTGGGGTTATGATATGGGCAGGCATGAGCTATGGGCAACGAACACAATTGCATTTTATCGATGGCAATTTGAATGCACAAAAATACTGTGACGAAATCCTGTGGCCCATTGTGAGGCCAATTTTCCGGGGGGGATCTGTGATCAACAGATGCATTTCTGTATTCAGAGTCATGAATTTATTTAAATTGACTGATTTCCTCATATGAACTGTAAGTCAGTAAAATATTTTATTGTTGCATGTTGCGTTTATATTTTTGTTCAGTATACTTTTTCAGCTCCTAGTGGAGCAAAGGTCCTCAGCGGTGCATCTCCACTCCAATGAACTCTGTTCTAGGCAGTTTTCTTGACTTCATTCCATGTGGTTCCTGCCTTCATCTCCTACTTACTTCAATGGTAGTAGGTCTTTTTGTTTTTGTTCATCCCCTCATATCCAAGTATAGAATGGGACACACTGTTTTTGGGAGACGGGTAATTCAGTATGTCTTTTTGCGAACCATAGCAAAATAGTTTACTGGCTGAATGCAACCCGTGTTTTGGTTTGGTCCCCCAATTTTTTTCTCTGTAAATCTACAACGTTACTTTGCTGACGTTGTACACAAGGTTTTCAACCATTCTCAGAGGAAAATGGAAATAAAATAATATGAGAGAATGCACTTCAGTTTGTTCTCTACCATGCACTTTGGTAGGTGAGGGCAGTATGCTTTTTCCTTGTTACTTGACAGAAAACAAAAGTTTTGACGGATAGTCTTTGGGATTGCAATACCCACAGTCCTCAGATGTATAGGAATCATTATATTCTCTTCTGTTCTCTTTCACTTTCACTCAAAGGATGATTACTAATCATAAAACGATTTGCTGCTTTAATTTTTTGTAAGACTGTATGAGATGAGCAAGCTGCAAATGCAATAGCAAGAGAGGCTGACCTGAACAAGTGTTATTCACACCCCCACTCACAGTATCAACTGGATCATTGATCCCTTTTATGATATTGTTCAGAGTGCCTATCTATTTCAACTTTTGTTAGAAGAATGATATGGTTCAGCGTGTCAACTAACATAATTAAGACTGACTAAACAAGGATGTAAATAAAGGTTTACTCAGTAACAGTCTAATTGTTTTTCTCTGACATTCATTTTTACATTTACATTTTAGTCATTTAGCAGACGCTCTTATCCAGAGCGACTTACAGTTAGTGAGTGCATACATTATTTTTATTTGTATATATATTTTTATTTTACTGGCCCCCCGTGGGAATTGAACCCACAACCCTGGCGTTGCAAACGCCATGCTCAACCAACTGAGCTACATCCCTGCCGGCCATTCCCTCCCCTATCCTGGACGACGCTGGGCCAATTGTGCGCCGCCCCATGGGTCTCCCGGTCGCGGCCGGCTACGACAGAGCCTGGATTCGAACCAGGATCTCTAGTGGCACAGCTAGCACTGCAATACAGTGCCTTTGACCACTGCGCCACTCATTCATTTTGGCACTCTCAAAATGAAGCTGGGAAATTAGGAAATCGTTTTTGTTTCACCAAAACAATCATTTCTACGAAGACAATCACCACTACATTAACTTTCTTTGCAGAGAATCCAATTATAGGTAGGAGCAATGTCATTAAAAAACTACAGTTGTATTAAACTAAGTTAAATCAAATGGAAAATGTTCAATTTGGTGGAAGTGTTGGGTTTTTCCTACCAAAGGTCATTGCTAAAGTTCACCAATTTAGAGCCAATCATTTCCAGACACTACATTTCTCTGTTAGCTGAGTACTTCATTATTACAAAAGGAAAGGGATTCCATGATTTGTATTGAAACCCACCACTGGCCGGACTGAAGGTGAACTCTCCAACTCAGTATCCTGTCCCCTCTCTGAATTATCAAGGCTGAGCTACAGTAGGACCAAAGTGCTCTAATGTAATGTCTGTCCCTCTTCGACTACCTGGGTCCCTCAGTCTGCTGTGGTCTATGGTAAGACATAGACGTTTTTCCTACATATTAAACTCTACTATTATCTCCTCACAGACTGGTTTTTGCCCAGGCACACCAAGGTAAAGGTAAAGAAAGAAAAGCGTGCCATCTAGTGGGGATTGAACTCTGATTTAGGGCTCTATTCAATCTGTATCGCTGAAGCGTTATAGATTGCACGATAGAAATCAAAAGGTAATTTCCTTTTGAGACAACATATGCAGCGTTTACCGTTAATGCAGTGTCCGCTAATGCGGGAACATTGCCTTTAAATTTCAATCATGCTGTAATGCTGAACTTCTGCAATACGGATTAATACTGATGATTTGTTGGCACAGATGGTTCGTTTACATAGTAGGTTAGGATAATTAACATGGCAGGTTAGAGAACTAATACAGCAGGTTAGGTTAATTAAGGTAGCAGGTTATGAGAATGAGGTTAGGTTAGGAAAATGGTTAGGGTTAGGCTTAGCTACAATGCTAAGCTATCAACAACTGTTGTCCCCGACGCGACCACTGGATGGCGCAGTAGATTTAGGCTCCTCCATCTAGCGACAACGGTAAAAACGTAAACAAACCATCTGTGGCAACAAATCATCAGTATCATATCACCGGTTTAGACTACGTACAATTGGCCCACGTCTATTCATGTTGTTCCAGTCCCAATATATAATTTATCATGGCATCAAACAAGATGGTAAGCTACTGATTTTGGGATCCCATGGCCATTTCACAAAACAGTGAGGGAGCTGTCCTAATATGAGCCATAAGAACTTTCCAAATAAGAAACTCACAGATCTCCCACAGATCCCTAAAGTGCCCAATAGTCCTTCTCTGACTATTGTCATAGGCTTTTGATATCAAAGCAGGGCTCTTTGGTGTGCCTGGGCCTTGTGAATATCTGTTTCCACACGTAATGGCATCCTGGGAGGAACAACCATAAACACTTTAACCAGCTCACAGCAGATTGCAGCCTGACGTTCATTCAACCACTTTCCCTTCAGGGGCCTGGAGGTCACACTCGAAGCCACACCCGCCCCATTCGCGTTAGAATTTCCGAACGAGAAAGTGTAGGCGGTATAGAAATAATTAGGCTCAAATTTAAAAATCATTAAACGACATAATGACGATTTCTATCATTCTAATCGAGGTGTAGATTACATCTCACATGCCATGTTTCCGAACTTGTACAAGGCTGCATGGGATTTCTCTTATTGCGACTCATGGCAATGTCTGTTTTAGGTACAATGCCAGGAGCTGCTTGTGGACTCGATTCCTATTCCTTTTGTGGATTCGTCCTAATCTTGAATTTGTTGAAAATGCTGAGGCACAAAGACTCTTGAGTACAAAAAGCTGTGAGGCAAATTCTTCCTGTCCCTGTTTTCTAAAGTGTTCTCTATAAAAGGCATGTTCATGTGCAACAAAGTTCACAATCACTCACTAATCTATCAGCTGTTCCTAGGATAGGACATCTGGTATCACAGATCCTGTGTTTTTTTTATTTATTTTATTTTATATTTATTTAACTAGGCAAGTCAGTTAAGAACAAATTCTTATTTACAATGACGGCCTACACCAGCCAAACCCGGACGACCCTGGGCCAATTGTGCGCCGCCCTATGGGACTCCCAATCAGGCCATGAGTGATCTTGTGTGTAAATGTGAAACACATTTGTATAAACCTATCCCCAGAAATACTGACAGACACAAAGACACAGAGTTTCAGAGAGAGAGATTGAGTTATTGAATGTGCTTGCTGAAGGCAATTCTTACATACTCTTATTATTATTCCGCCCACTCTAGTACAAACGATTTAAACTGTAAACACGAAACCAACTTTCAAATGTGCAGACAGCCCCCACTTAGACTGCTTGAGAAAATATTTTTGATAGCGTTTATACTTTTTGTACTACAACAATATTTAAATGAGCTCCCAATGCATTTCAATTGCAATAAAAGTGCCATAGACCTCCCTGGGGAAACATTGGGCACGCAACTCCTCTTACACCGTTTAAGCTATCAACACCAAACCAATATTGACATGTTCAGACTGACCCAACTTATATTGTTTGTCAAAGGCATTTTGATACTATTTATACTTTTTGAACTATAACCATTTAAAATTGTCATGAAAGCTCTATTGGCTAGAATAGTACATTTTAGATTTACCACTGCTCTTCAACCGTTTAAGCTATAAACACCAAACCTACATACAGACTGACAACTTAGATTGCTTGCCAAACGATTTTTGATACTATTCATACTTTTTAAACTATAAGCATTTAACATTTGCATAAATTAACATGGGTTTGAATGAGAACCATAGGAATACAGCGGTAGCTATAGAAAATGGTCCGGCTCCTTGGCCATTTAAGCTGCAAACTTTTGAAACGTTCAAACAGTCCTCACTTAAAATTCTCTCAAACCTTAATAAACTATCAAGCACACACATTTTCTTGAGGAAATGGCCTTATCTAGTCTTATGTGTGTTTGAGGAGGACTTTGAGGAAGACTTGGGTAATAAAATAAATACATTTGGAGACTCGAAAAGATGTTGAGTTTTTATTATCTAATTTGCCTATGCAGACCTCCTACGCATTAGCAACTTTAAGTGACAGATTAATAGTGTAAATTACAAACGTTATATCCCCTTATATCCTCTTCAAACATAGAGATTACATTAACATGACAACTTGACATTAACTTTCCTTTTTTCATCTGATTAATCTTTATGCAATGTCTTCAACGAGGAATCAACAAAGAAAGTATATTATGATATATATCTTGTCTAACAGAAGAGAAGAGATTGCAATGAAACACTCAAATGTAGTCATGAGAGGGAGAGAAACATCTAGGTGGATTAGCTGGCCACACTCTTGGTTGGTTGGGGCTGGAGGTCCTGGTGCCACTGTCTTAGACACTGTTGAACAGACTAAAGAAGTCATTCTTCTGGCCCTCAGGAGCCTCCTCCAGCTCCACACCCTCACAGAAAGATGGCAGATTGAGCACTTCAGGGTCTTTCACCTCAGTGACCACTTCGGAATTGCTGTGAGAAGAAGAGAGAAATAACATGCAAGTGTAGCGGACATGAGTCGGGCTCATTGTCTCGTGATATAGTAGCCCTGCCTGCAACTTCAAAATCAGTGTCATCTTCGGCCCAATTGGACATTTCCTCTAGGTCTAACAGTCAAGACATTGGTTTATCCTGTGGGAGACCAAGGTTCAGATCCTGCTCGTGACACACGAACATACGTATACTGTAAGCACAATCAGAGTCTGATATACAGAACAAAATCTCCATAATTCCTCAAGTACTAATCTAGTACTATGATATAGCAAAATATAGGCAGATGGTAGCAGCTATTATTCATTGCACAAGAAGGTTTCAGTGACCCTACAGCTGCATTAAACAAATTAAAAGTATGTCACTCACCTGAAGAGGAGCGTCATGGAGTCAGTTGAGTAGAAAGTGCTGAGTGGTAGACATTCTCCCACAGTAGTAGACAAAAAATACTGGCCTGGAGATGAGACAGACAGACAGATGCTTTGATTTGATACATTCTAATAGCTTCACTATATAAACCAATGTATACACCATTATACTTCATTAATAAAAATCACATTGACAGGTTGATTCCTAATGCGTATCATACTCACCCTTAGTCTCTGGCACGGATCCCATCCATATGTTCACTTTGATGTTCTCCTCCTGAACAGTGTCACTCCCCAAAAACAGCTCAACCCGATGGGCTGCACCAGTGGGGAGTTCAAGAGCGTGAGCATGAGAGTGCAGAGGCATCTTCTTACAGGACTGGTTCTTCATGTCAATGTCATAGAAGACCCCCTGAGAGAGACGGTAGAGAAGGAGGAATCCTCGGTTATGATGATGCTGTGTCATAACCACAGTAACAAGTGGGTTATGCAACTGTTATGTAGGACATGTGATGTTATAAAGCAGCTATTCTGAATTACAATTGGGTTGGACTCAACTGAAATCTTGCCTTGTATGTTTCTGTCAGTTGTCAGTGTTACCTCTTCAAACAGCATCAGGTAGTCCTCCAGATGCTCAGTCTTGTTGAGGTGCATCTCACTTTCAGTGAAACGTATCTTCTTGTCCGTAGAGTCGTAGCTGTAATGTCCAGTTGCCTTGATTTCACCTCCTGTAAGGGCCATCTGTTTTATCAAGAGAGAAAATAGATAGAGAGAGAGATGAAGATATATAGAAAGACTAATATGACCCAATTCTATACCTGCTAAATCTAAGCCAACTGCCAATTGGGTTGTGTTTAGGAGAAAACATTCAGGGTTGCATTCAGGGAAAACATTCAGGGTTGCCTGAACTGAGAATCTGGTTTGGTATAGAAATAATGCAATATGGCCACACAGTGTTCTTACATGACACTGGATATTGATAAGGTTGAATGGACAAGAGGGCTACTCACCACAGTCAGGACCCCAGTCATATTAGGTGATGCTTAAAGACAAAGACGGCAGTTAGACAGATTTTCAAATATATAGGTATAATTTAATTTAGAAGAGACTGTTGGTTTATCCTTGACAATATTACCAAAATAGTCATACAAGTCACAGCAGTTTTCCACATAGTGCACAGCAAACATTAACTTCTACAAGTAGATATAAAGCAGATAATCCTTACTGCAGTGTTGTGGGCCGTGGGACTCTGCCAGGGTGGTGGCACCCAGACACAGCCAGATGGAGAGGGCAGCGACGGCAAAGGCCTGCATCTTCTCGTGGAGGGAGACTGAGGTTAACACTCAAACTGCACAACTCAGAGAGGATGATCACGATTCCAAGTGGTAAAAGGTACTGTGACAGGATGGATGGACACACTGGTCCTTTTATAGGGTCTAACCACAGGACTAAACAGAACACCTCCATGGGTCCAACCCCCACAGTGTCTGTCTCAATGGAAGGATGTTGTGGAAAGTGACAGGAGTGGTTTAAACTGGCTGACCCTTCCACCTGGACCCTGACAAACAACATCTGCATAAACAAGGACTTAAGGACAAGCCACATGGAGTCACTGTGGAGCAATGGTCTGCCTTTTCATTGTATCCCCTGTCCTGTCAGCATCTTGTGCTATAGAACCTATGCTATGATTCCTTGGGTACAGTCAACCCAATTAGTTTGTAAGCCATGAGCCAATATTCAGCTCATAATGAAAGCCATGTTCAACAGAGACCAATTTATAAGAATACTTATTGCTTGCTCTTAAATGTATTTTGATGGCCTTTCAACAATAAATTGTGTGGTATCGTAGAATATGGTGCACTTTTCAAACTAGAATATCTACTGTGTAAAATACATACCCTTTGTTCTTCTAAAACCTTACCAATGTGATGTTTATTGATAACAACCTTTCATGCCCTTATATTAATAGTGCTTACTGTGCAGTTTCTGTCTCTATGGCTGTGAAAGATCCAGCCGCCCTCTGAAGAACTTAGGGGGGCGTCCAATCCAAACACTAAAGGCCCTGTTCAAATGAGTTCGGCCCTCTGTCGTCCTGCTGTCTGTCCTCTGTTTCCCTACACCAAACAATATTAAACAATATAAGACAAGAGATTTGTTTTTCCTTTGAGAGGATGATTATGGTCACATCGCTAAAGAGGTCACGTTCGACTAAATCTTCAACTTAAAATGATTTGTTGAAAAAGTGAATAAAATGGTAAGATTTCATTTTTACATACAGCACATTTCACTGCTCCACAGCTCAGGTAACACAGCATGTTGACTGGTCTATAATCAGTGATCTGACATTCCTCTGGATTCAAATCTGGATACACTGTAATGGACAGAATCCAAATACTGTCATAATTAGTAGTATGTGTACATGTACAACATTTATACAGGATAAATATCAGACAATACTGCCAATCAAAAATTCAGTCGACCCTGGCATATAGAGAGAACGGATCACGTCCAAATAATAAGTTCTCTCGGACAAGAAGAGTTTATCTTAGTGCATCTAGGCTCGGGTATGCAATCAAACTGAAATGGTTCCAGCACTCCCCCCAATGGATTTAGACATACACTGAACTGTTCTTCAGCATTTGGACCGTCAACTGAAAGAACAACTAACAGAAACTCCAGTTATCAGTCCACAATGATTTGTACCAAACTTTTTCCAAATACATTTCTCACTGTTACAAAACCCCCGGAGAGGGATCAAAATTAGTATCCAAATTAATGTTGACAGTTCTTACGGTCTTTAGGGCTTCTCTATTCCAAATAATATGGCAGAGTACCAATGTAGAGTGGGAGATAGAGATTGTAGAAAACCCTTACAATTGGCCATGTGTGCTTCTCAGAACCCTCTCTCAAACTCTATCTCTGGGCTTTAGAGATTAACTTTGGGACTTCTTATAGATGAGGTAGGCTTCCAACCCCTGACCTCCATCTAAAGTTCAATTGTCATCGCTAGCTAGAGTAAAAATATCTGGCATATATCTGTACCTGGGGCAAAGACTGTGTTTTCCTGGGGCAAAAGTTCAGGATATCACCAGGTTGCTTCCCGAGGCTGTGAGTCAGTGATACTGATACTGTCATGGTTCATGTGGGGTCAAATTACATTACGAAGGGTAGCTAGGAACAGCTGAAGATGGATTTTAAAGAACTGATTGGGTCTCTACTTGACACCAACAAACACCCCATAATATCTGGCCCTCTGCCCTCCCTAAAGCGTGGCATTGAACGGTTCAGCAGACTTTTAGCTTTCCATAACTGGCTACGAGACTATTGCAGCTCTGTGGGTGTAACATTTATTGAGAATTTTGATACCTTCTGGAAACAAAGCTTGTATTATAAGGAGGATGGGATCCACCCAAATCATTTGGGTTCCTGGATCCTTTCACAGCATTATAAGGCAGTATTGAGACAATGACTTATCAGTGACCCAAGTCCAGCTCATTTAATCCCTACCATTGTGTCGCTGAGTTGTCATAATGCTTCAGCAAACATACATTATCCTAGGGGCGTTGGAAGATGTAAGTAACCAAATGTATGTCCCTCTTACTGCCTGGAATGCATCTGCTGATCCTACAGCTATTGTATGCAGTAATCATATGCCTATGAACCAGAGTAATACTGTTAGCACTGAGGTGGTGTGCCCTAGTGTGTGCAGCTCACCCTGCACTAATAAAAATAACCTGAGTATGTCCACCTCTGCTAAGCTTCCCAGTAAAGCAAGAAAAAGAATCAAGCATCCCAGAAAAGTGTTAAAAATAGCCCAGATTACCATATGTAGCTTAAGAAACAAGGTTCATGAAATCAATAATTTGCTAGTAACAGATGACATTCATATTCTGACAATCTCTGAAACTCACTTAGATAATATGTCACGCCCTGGCTCTGGGGACTCTGAAATGTTGAGCCAGGGTGTGTAGTTTCTGTGTTATATTTTCTATGTTGATGTTCTAGATCGTTTAGATCTATGTTGGCCAGGGTGGTTCCCAATCAGAGGCAGCTGTATCTCGTTGTCTCTGATTGGGGACCATACTTAGGCAGCCTGTTTGGCACTAGTCGGTGTGGGATCTTGTTCCGTAAAGGTTTGTTTTGTGTAACCTAGGACTTCACGTATCGTTTGTTTGTTGTTTTGTGTCGTGTTAAGTACTTAATAAAATGTACGCTTATCACGCTGCGCCTTGGTCCGTATCTTCCGTTAACGATCGTGACAGAAGATTCCACCAAAAGAGGACCAAGCAGCGTGCCCAGGAGGAGAAGATAGCGATGTCTCAGGTGGGCAAATGGTGGTCATGGGAGGAGATATTCGCAGGGAAAGGGCCATGGGCAAAGGTAAATGCCCAGGCAGGAGAGGAGAAACGGCGCCAACTGTGCCGACGACGGACACGCGAGAGGCAACCCCAAGAACATTTTTGGGGGGGCACACGGCGTGGACGACGGGGCAGCAGGAGGCAGCTACAGGGCGAATCTGCAGACTAGGAGAGGAGGCCACCAGGTTACGGGGGCTATTGGTCCAGAGGGAGCAGGAGTTAATTGGTCAGAGGGAGGAGCTACAAGAGGCGTTAAGGGAGAGGGAGAGTGTAGAGCCACGGCGAGAGGAACTGGTTAGGCAGCAGAAGGAGCGGAGGTTTATAAGGAAACCCAGTCCCGCTCCTCGCACCAAGCAAGTGGTGTGTGTCACCAGTCCGATCCGGCCCGTTCCTGATCCCCGCACTAAGCCAGTGGTGCGTGTTCCCAGTACGGCCCGACCCATTCCTACTTCCCGCACAAGGCCAGTGGTGTGTGTTCCCAGTACGGCCCGACCTGTTCCTGCTTCCCGCACCAAGCCAGTGGTGCGTATTCCCAGTCCAGCCCGGTCCGTTCCAGTCCCTCGCACCAAGCCAGTGGTGCGCATCGCCAGCCCGGTCCGGCCTGTTCCTGCCCCTCGCACCAAGCCAGTGGTGCGCGTCGCCAGCCCGGTCCGGCCTGTTCCTGCTCCTCGCACCAAGCCAGTGGTGCGCATCGCCAGCCCGGTCCGGCCTGTTCCTGCCCCTCGCACCAAGCCAGTGGTGCGCGTCGCCAGCCCGGTCCGGCCTGTTCGTGCTCCTCGCACCAAGCCAGTGGTGCGCGTCGCCAGCCCGGTCCGGCCTGTTCCTGCCCCTCGCACCAAGCCAGTGGTGCGCGTCTCCAGCCCGGTCCGGCCTGTTCCTACGCCCCGCACCAAGCCAGTGGTGCGCGTCACCAGCCCGGTCCGGCCTGTTCCTGACCCTCGCACCAAGCCAGTGGTGCGCGTCGCCAGCCCGGTCCTGCCTGTTCCTGCTCCCCGCACCAAGCCAGTGGTGCGCGTCGTCAGCCCGGTCCGGCCTGTTCCTGCTCCCCGCACCAAGCCAGTGGTGCGCGTCGTCAGCCCGGTCCGGCCCGTTCCTGCTCCCCGCACCAAGCCAGTGGTGCGTGTGTCCAGTCCGGCACGGCCCGTGCCTGTTCCACCGGTGCCTGGTCCGGCACCGGTCAGCTGCTCCACTCCGGAGCCAGAGCAATCCGCTCCACCGGGGTCCGGTCCAACTCCAGTCAGCGGATCCACTCCGGAGCCAGAGCAATCCGCTCCACCGGTGTCCAGTCCAGCTCCGGCCAGCGGCTCCAGTCCCGGAGCCTGTACGGTTTGATCCACCGTCGTTGGGTCCAGCTCCAGTCAGCGGTGCCAGACCAGATCAGGGGCGCAATGGGGAGGTGGAGAGAAAGTGGTGGTCACGCCCGGAGCCGGATCCGCCTCCGAGGCGGAATGCCCACCCGGTTCCTACCCTGTTGTGTTTGTGTGGCGCGGTCACAGTCCGCGCCTTTGGGGGGGGGGGGGGGGGGGGGGGGGGGTACTGTCACGCCCTGGCTCTGGGGACTCTGAAATGTTGAGCCAGGGTGTGTAGTTTCTGTGTTATATTTTCTATGTTGATGTTCTAGATCGTTTAGATCTATGTTGGCCAGGGTGGTTCCCAATCAGAGGCAGCTGTATCTCGTTGTCTCTGATTGGGGACCATACTTAGGCAGCCTGTTTGGCACTAGTCGGTGTGGGATCTTGTTCCGTAAAGGTTTGTTTTGTGTAACCTAGGACTTCACGTATCGTTTGTTTGTTGTTTTGTGTCGTGTTAAGTACTTAATAAAATGTACGCTTATCACGCTGCGCCTTGGTCCGTATCTTCCGTTAACGATCGTGACAGAATACAGTGGTAGCAATACATGGTTATAAGATCTACAGAAAATACAGAAATGCCAAAGGTGGAGGTGTGGCTGTTTATATTCAGAACCACATTCCTGTAAAGCTTAGAGAGGATCTCATGTTAAAAACTGCTGAAGTAATATGGCTACAGGTTCATCTGCCTCACC